TTGGATTTTAGGAAAAACTTCTCCACCAAAAAGATTGCCAAGAATTGGAACAGGCTTCCCAGGGAAGAGGTTGAGTCACCATCCCTGGAGTTATTTAAAAGACAAGTAGCTCTGGCACTTAGGGACATGCCTTAATGATGGACTTGGGTTAATGGTTGGACTCCGTGATCTTGCAGGTCTTTTCCAACCTAAATGATTGTATGATTCTATGAACATCAGACTGCTCTTGGCTTCAGCTCCCTCTGGTGGGTAATGCATACTCCAGAGACCAGCAATTACTGCTAAAGGCAACCACCAAAAAAATGAAAGAATCTGCAGGTCATGTTTTTCTTAAAATACACATAAATACACTGGATGAGCAATGATTACAACAGAGATCAGAGTTAAAGCTATAACTTTACACATCTGTGCTGAGAAGTTCATGTCAGAACACAACTCCCTTTGAATTCAGAGAAGAGATGGGGGTTTCAGTCCAGGCAGAAAGTGATTTCCAGCATCTAACACTGATTAAAATGAAGAACTAGTTAAAAACAATTTATTTTTTTATTCACTTGGATTTCTGTTCTTGACTGATACTTTGAGCTGTCCCGGTTTCAGCTGGGATGGAGTTAATTTGTTTCCTGGTAGCTGGTGCAGTGCTGTGTTTTGGATTCAGTGTGAGAATGATGCTGATCACACACTGATGTTTGGTTGTTGCCAAGCAGTGCTCAGCCCAAGTCAAGGACTTTTCAGTGTCCCAGGCTCTGCCAGTGAGGAAGTGCACAAGGAGCTGTGAGGGAGCATGGCCAGGACAGCTGGCCTGAACTGGCCAGAGGGATATCCCACACCATGGAATGTCATGCTCAGGACATAAATTTGGGGAAGGTTGGTCAATGGCCACCGATGGCTGGTCAGGGACAGGCTGGGCATTGGTCAGCAGGTGGTGAGCAACTGGACTGTGCACCTCTTGTCCTTCTTGGGGTTTATTACTCTTTCTCTTTGCATTACAATTATTTTTATTATTACTATTATTAGTAGTATATTTCATTATTTTTCAATTAATCAACTGTTCTTATCTCAGCCTGTGAGCTTTGGGGCTTTTTTTCATGATACTTAATTACTGGCTAGGATTGAAGCACAGCAAAGGCATAAAGGTTGATGCCCTTTCTAAAAAGCATTTTGTTGGCAGAAAATATTCATTATTTGGCAAATCTCACACCCCAGAGATTCTTCATTTGTTAAAATTAATCTCGTCTCAGTGAAAAAGAAAACTATGCTTTTAAATCTATGATTATCTTACTATAAAATATGTATGCCCACCTATTTATCTGCTGAGGTAACTGAAACTTACAGCTTATTTTATAATTTATATACTTGGGGACAAATCTAAGTTCTTCCACAAGGACAATGTGCAGACTGTATGGAAGTATCCCAAATACATCAGTTATGATAATGGCAACTTGTGATAATTCTTATGTTAAAATAAAATCAGTAATCACTCCTCTACAAAATAGTACTTAAATTTTGATTACCTCTTAAAAATGCATGGAAATGTTGCCAACATCAGCAATCTGACAGAAGAGGCTTAGAATTAATTGTACTTTTCTGCTCTCACAAGTGGCACCAATAAACCAAACGTTAGTTCTTGCATCTCTGGGTTGGTTTTTCTTTCATTCAGAAGCTTGGTTGTTGGTCTCAATCACATCCTGACAGTTGTTTTGGAAAAAAACAACCCCATGTGTTCATTAGAAAACTGCAACTGAGCATGAGAACATTTGGGATGAGAATGGTCAGGTAAATTCTTCAATGGATCACAACCATACTGCTCAGGCTGATGTCCAACTTAAGCAACTGTATAGCCTGTTCATGAAATGGCTTATGGAGTTACATTGCATTTAAAGACAGCTCAGTGGAGGAGAGGCTGGACATGACCTGGCAATGAGCACTGGCAGCCCAGAAAGCCAAACATGTCCTGGGCTGCATCCAAAGCAGCGTGGGCAGCAGGGCAAGGAAGGGGGCTCTGCTCCTCTGCTCTGCTCTCCTGAGACACCACCTGGAACCCTGCATCCAGCTGAGGTCCCCAGCACAAGAAAGACATGGACCTGTTGGAGCGAGTCTAGGGGAGGCCACAAAAATGCTCAGAGGGCTAGAGTACATCTCCTCTGAAGAATGACCAAGGGTAGGGTTGTTCAGCCTAGAGAAGAGAAAGTTCTGTGGAGACTGGATTATGGCCTGTCACTGCTTAGAGGGGGCTTCTAATAAAGATGGGGACAACTATTTTAGCAGGGCCTATTGTCCTAGGACAAGGGGTAATGGTTTTAAACTTAAAGAGCATAGATTCGGATTGAATATGAGGAAGAAGATTTTTACCATGGGATTGGTGAAACACAGGAACAGATTGCTCAGAGAGGTGGTGGATGTCCAGTCCCTGGAAACATTCAAAGTAAGATTGGATGGGGCTCTGTTAAAGATGTCATTGCAGGAAAGTTGAACTAGATGACCCTTAAAGGTCCCTCCCAACCATTTTTTGATTCCTTGGTAACTAAGCTGCCGGCATGTGTTTTAAATTCCAACTTTCATTCTGAAAGAAGCTGTGGAACTTACAAAAGACATTTCTTTCTTATGAACATTTTTCTCCTTTTAAAAAAGGAAACCATCCAACTTTCAGGTACAAATAAGAACCTGATATCAGAAGCTCTTCACAAGATATGTAATTTTAATTGGAATTCTAAGCAATGCATAAAATACCCTAGAAACTTCTTCCAGAATTATTGTAATTAGCTCCTCTCCCCTTCTGCTGCTTCATATGTTTGCACTTACATGAAGTAACACAAGGCTTTTATGAGGTGAGGGGCTTACATGCAAGTCATATACAGTACAGACAGACATGTTTGTAGGCAAGTAGGACAAACTCCTCCATGCAGTGGAGGGTTGAGGACAAAGCACATTTGTATGAACATGCTTGCAATACTCATAGTTCTGTGCTTAGAAAGAAATACTAAATAACTTCATTAGCTCTGATGTACAACTGCTTTGAACCTCAGAGAAAATATCTAATTTTCCTATGTTCTTAATATTAAACCCAGAAAAGATCTGTTTGCAAGAAGCTCATGAAATCTGTGGCTTTGCTGTTAAAATATTATTGTGCTATTAAGACTACTCTGCAGTAGTAATTTTATTCTCTGCAGTTAAATAGCATTTCACAGCATGTTTTATTTTGTTTGGCTAAACTCCAGGCTTTCTGGTTCTCTAGTAGAGCCTAAAGAGTTGCCTGCAGACTGTAAAAAGAGTTACATACATTTAAGTGGATTAAAAAACACATTGAACTTGGAAAAGGCATTTAGGGTTATTGCAAAATAATGTCTATTTTACGTATTTATGACAGTGGTAACCCTCTCACTAAAGGTATTGCTTGTCCTACCACAAGATTCTGAGGAGTGCCAAAACCAATGACGTCTTCTACCTTATTTTATTACCTAATCTGTCCCCCTCTTTTAGGAAATAATGTATTGCTGATCATTCTGGCTAAATGCCCTTCTCCTAATTTTGGGTTTCTAGTCTCACCTGTCTCCAGAAGCTCAGTGGAGGCTTCCTCTCTGAGAGCAAGTGGAGCATACTCTTGAAATATGCTATGCAGTTTCTGGAAAGTGCTCAGCCATTTGCTCTTAGCTTGCTGCCTGTATGCAGATCCCTGCTGAAAATATCCCTGAAAAATATGTTATGAACATGACTAAAAGGCAAGCTGTGAGAACATAATGGAAAGTTAAGAAGCTGTTCTAATCATAAAACATGATTAAAGAACACCATTACTACTTCAGGTAGGTGCAGCTCTCGCCTACCAGATTGCTGCAGTTTGACAGATGGGCAGATGTGGATTTGAGACTTATGACCTCTGTTTTAACAAATATATATCTCAACTGGGAAAGTTACACATCTCTAAGGTGGGGATAAAATCTTATGTATCTATTTGATGACAGCGTAACCAGCATCATCTATAAAGGCTCAGGGAATATTTTCCTTCAGATAATATCTTCCAGGGCTGTACTTCATGCTATAATGAGAAAAGCACTGCTGCTCATTTAAATATACAATTCATTTGCACCATAAAATGTTGAAGGAAATTCCTCAGATTCAGTATTTTTTAATGTAAGTGCTTAGCAATTAGATTTCCATTGATTAAAGAAGTGAATCACCTTCAGATTAATGAAGAATAAATTAATGTCCTTTAAGGATTGGAAAGAAATGTATATTTATTCCTTTACTGAGCAACTTCTGAACAGAGAGAATTCAGCACTCACCTGGTAGGCTGAAATTTGTAAGTATTTGCAACAAAATGGACATGAGAAGAGCAGATTTCAGGTTACTCAGGGAACTAGTAAGTGAGATCTCCCAGGAAAATGTTTTTGCTGGTGCTGGGGTCCATCAATGCTGGTGACTTTTTAAACATCACCTCCTCAGAGCACAGGAGCAAAAGTTCCCAAATGTCAGAAGTCAGACAAGGCAGAAGGCTATTTTGGCAGAACAGGGACCCTCTCTTGCAAATAAGGTGAAAAAAGGGAAGGTGCATGCCCAGTGAAAGCAAGGTCAGGTGATGTGGGAATACAGAGATGCCTCTGGCCACTGTAGGGAGAAAGCTGGCAGAACTGTAAGGGACAATAAAAGGTTTTTGTCAAATATATTAATGGCAATAGGGAGTGCAAAATAACATTGGCCTGTTACAGGATGAGGATGGTCACCTCCCAAACAGGGACAGGGACCAGGCAGAGGTGTTTAATGTGTTCTTTGCCTCTGTCTTCAACACAGATGATGGACCAAGGGGGTTTCAGCACCATGAGATGGAAGATCAGGGCTCATCCCAGTTGACCCTGAAGTCGAGCAGATCTGCTGCTTCAGCTGGATCCCTAAAAATCTATTTGGCCTGATGGGATTTATCTGAGAATCTTCAAGGAGCTGGCACATGTCATTGCAAAACCTCTCTTGATTTTTGAGATTTTTTTTTTCTTGATTTTTTATTTTTTCAGAATCCAGAGAGATCCCAGTGGACTGGAAGTTGGGTGACACTAACCTGACTTTCAAGAAGGGCAAGAGGGAGGACCCTGGAAGTTACAGGCCTGTCAGTCTCATTTCAGTGCCAGGTAAAATCATGGAAAAAACTATTCTGGAAGATACTGAAAAACACCTGGAGGACAATGCAGCCATCAGTCCCAGCCAGCACAGCTGCTTGAGAGGGAAGTCCTGCTGTCAAATCTCATTTCTATTTCAGCTTCCTTCTGGGAATGAAGATGACACATTAAACAGATCCTGCTCATCTGAAAGTCTGAGTCCAATTCTCTGTTAGAATGAACTCCATTTATACTTTTGATGATTTGCCAGTTCCCAAAAAGTGTTGAGCAACACCTGCTTGATTACAATCTGTCTGCACTGCTCTTTTGATACTCCATGAGATGCAACACAAGTGTGTGCTTTTGCATTACGTCAGTTAGGTTAATTCTTCCAATTATACCTTTAAGTAATTATAAGATTTTCTTTCATAATATTCCTGAGATTGATGGGATTATCAGGCTTTTTCCCCATAAAACCTGAAAACAATGGAAAAACCCCACATATTTAAGGACACAAATACAAACCTAATCTACACACAGCAGAAACCTAACAGGTTTCTTATGGTGTGCATCAGTCAAGACTTTGTATTACTGTCCCTTCCTCTTTTGCCTTCTAGATTTATAATATGCCCTTTCTTTACATACCAAACCCAATAATGCACTTACTATACCCTAAAAGTATAAATTCAACAGAATTCCAGAATTAAAAACAAACATCTGGAAAACCTTACAACAAATCTTCAATATCTCATCTCTGATACTTCCTCAAAATTTCCAGATGCAGTGAAACACAACGGTGATAATTTCTGGCACCACCTGGAAGCCCCCACCTCAGGTCCATCAGCTGGAGTTATAACCTCTTACTTTACAGTAGTTGTCTAATTGAGGAAAGTATTCTTCCCTTAATGCATTTCTTTCTGCCTCTGATCCTAGCACAAATAAGCATAGTGAGATCAGATTGTTGTAACTTGAAATCATTGCAGTTTTGATTATTTTGCTATGTTTGATGGCAGAAGCTTTGAATGAGTCAGAGGATAAACATTTCTTAAATAAGACACATATTCTTACAGATATTCTTAATCTTTGTACATTGATACCCAATGTGATATGATGTTATGAGGCACCTCACCAAGACTGCATTTATACTCACATGCACAGTAAATCACATTTTAACCATTCTGCTTACAAGACACAGTCTGAAATACTGATGAGCTGGATTTACATTTGCAAAATGTACATCTAAACCCAAATTTTGTGCACTCCCCTTCCTTCCAGCAGAAAAAATTCTGAGCTTACAACACTCAAAATATTAAAGTATTCAGAATCTTGCAGAAAAGAGGAAGCGAGGCTTTAGGGTTGTCTCCACTTCTTCACATAACAGAAATTGCATTTGCTTGATATACAAGAATCCCACAGCTTCAAATCAAAATTTCTAGATTTGCTCCTGTGCATAAACTTTTTCTGGTGACATTTTTTCCTCCCATCAAGGGTTTACTATTAATACTTTAAATAATACTTTATCATCTTCTAAAATACCTTAAGAGATATGTTAACATACAGAGAAACAACATATGTTTATCAACTGTAATTTTTAGAAGACTAACCAACCATGTTCTTAAGGCTCCAAATTTGAGATCCTTCCTCCTTCTTCCACTCTTCACTTCTACTGTCATCTTTTCTCCCTAAACAGATATCCAAAGAAGTTGAGTATTTCCTTTTCATATTTAGCATATGTCTCCTCATAGAATATCTTTCCCATTTCCTGATCTTGCAAGACAATGACCTGCCTTGCCTCCTCTGTGTTCATCAGTAGAGCATCTAAGAGCAGAGCTTGTGTCTGTGAAACAAAGATTATTGCGATGATCACAAAGAGATTCTGCCCAATTTTTACCAGTTAGAGTTTGTAGCAGAGGTCTCAAGTGCATACATGTAAAACAAGAGAAAATAAACCAGGAGTGACACATTGTAGCTTGTGCATTATATTATATGCAACATGACACACATTATGTTAACTCATTCCAGGTGTGAGGCATAAACACCACTCAGTAGTTTCTATCTTCTTCCTCCCCCACCCAATACACCTTTTCTGTATAAAAGCTACAATTATTCATAAGCATTTATAAGTCACAAATCCACCACATGAAGACAGACTCTGAAGCAGACTAAACCGCTCTGATCCAGTCAGTTTTATTTAAGTGAATTATTTGCCTCATTACCTGGCCATCCTGTTCAAAGGTCTGCATTGTTCCAGGGACAGGCCTGTTACTTTACTTGCTTTCACTAAGTGAAAACTTTTTTCTCTTTTCAGCCTTAGGAGAGTACTAAAATTCAGTTTTTGTATTGCTTTTCTACTAACAGAGCACTAGGAAGAAAAGCACTAACCATCTGTTTGGACTCTACTGGGGAAAAAAACCAACCCACAAACAAACCCAAAAAACATGTAGTCACAGAAAGAAAATCTTCCTATGAATTCTTTTTTATATAAACATCACATACCCAGCTTTAATTTTGACACATCCTTACTTCTGAGTAGGATTATTTCCTTTCCTTTAGCACCATTTTAATTTTGGAAATAAATGTCTATATGACATCCTGTACTTTTATCAGCTAAAGACATATGGCATGAGGAGGGGAAAGGAAAATCATAATTATGCAATATACCAGTTAACTAAAACCTGGTAATACTCTAGCGCTTATCTTCACAAAAAAAAAATATCATTTTTCTGATAATGCTGGGCAAAATTAGTTAACTGTCTACAGAAGCTGTCTACTTTTGATCGATGGGCTCTGCCCTGAGCTATTACAAGATCTGTGTCTTCAAGGTCAATTGAAGCATCATTTTCACTGCAGGTAGAGATCAAATGGTTCTCTACAGTGGAACAGCAGCTCTTCACATAGCAATGCTTTGTTCACATTTGTTTTACCTGCAGGAAATCATAGAATGAATTACTGACAGAGATACTTGACTTAAAGTTCTGCTCTGAAGAGCAAATTCAGTCAAGGTTGTGTTTATTGTCTTTCAATGACATTATAGCAGATGATTGTTTGAGAAAAAGATTTATTGCTTTCTTCCTTCTATATCACTTCTTGAAGGGTATCTTCCAAACTCAGACTAGGCTAATTTCCTTTTCTGACCATCAGCAGTAATGGAGACACTGCAGAGGCAGCTCTGCCCTCAGGGACACCCACACACCCTCACTCCTCTCCAGTGGGGCTCTGGAGTTACAGCCTGGCTTTCCCTCACTGCTATGCCCCATCTCGCAACATATACAACTTGTGGCAGCTAACCACAATAGGAGTTTTCAAATTTCTGCTCTATTTCTAACATGAATACTTCAAACACAACATCTGTAGGAACCACAGGCAAGAATGCTCAGACACAGTAGCAGGGGACAGCTATGTAACATGTTCAGTCTGACACAGGACACCAGGGCTGGATGTAGATATTCATGTCTTGTGTAACTAAGACATTTGGAGTCACTCTTCACCTTGCTCTGAATGAAGGAGAGAGAGGACAAATAGTTAATGATTTTCCAGTGCCTAGTCAATACGTTTCAAGTTATTTCTGAGAGCACACCAGGCTTTCAGAGGCTGCTTACATGGCCTCAGAAAGAGAATAACAGGAAACATAACAGGCAAACACAAATTCTTCTCACAGCCACAAAACAGACCCATTCTGAGATGAAGCCAAATCCATTTTGGTGAAGGAAACCAGAGCAATGAAAAGAAAATCTACAATCCTCTTGTCCTTTACCATACCCCAAGCTCATGCTAGAATTTAGCTTTTGTTTTGTTGTATTGTCCTGCAGCAATGAAAATTGATCCCCGATGCTCTTCTAGTTTTTCATATGAGGATGTTTTCCCCCATCCACTTCCTCCTCCAGTCCACCCAGAATTCTCACACTTCTGGTATTTTCTCTGTTCAATGAGCATCTCCTCCCCATTTTGTTCTGCTGTTAACTGCAAGAGCTTAGGGTGTCGTACTGTTGGAAGAAACAATTTCCAAAGGGAAAATATTTCTAGTTCAGACCAGTTCAAGGATTTTCACAGCACAAATTTCACAGTATAACCCAAAATCATTTGTATTGCCTCAGATGAGAGGAGGATAACATCCTTATATTTGCACTTTTGTCACAGGTCCTCTGTGAGGAAATGCTGGCTTTTTTCCTACTGGTCTTTACTCACCAAAATGTAATTGCTCATCAGTTGGGCACTCTTTATCTGTGCACCCCACACACAACCAGTCAAGCAGTACTGCAGAAATTATCAGCCTTGATTTCAGAGTATCTGTGTCAGGCTGACCAAGGCGGTGAGCAGGATCTGCCAGGCACACACTGCTGACTAATCACAGCTGTCATCTCTATTCAACATACTAAAGGCAGTCTGCATTACTCCCTGGAATTTGATATGTTAGAGAGCAATGGGGCATCTTTGGTCATGGTACCCACAGCAATTATGGATATTTGCTACCTTTAATTTACTGTTACTGGTACTGGCAGTTGTCTTCTCAGGCCAAACAAAGCTCTACTGCAAAACTCATGGATTTAAATAAGTGGTGTAGCCATACAATCGAGACACTCTCATCCTACTGAGTAATCACTGATTTTCCACTGCCACTAGGTCTTTGTAAAAAAATAAAGAAGGTGACAGGAGATTTTTCAAGTGTTTAGAATTCCTTCAGGAGTCTTGATCTTATTTACAATTGTGCCTTAACCAGATAATCATTAGATTTTTCCTTACCCTCATTTATCACTGCTCAGGCCTCTCCATAACATCGAATATCCAGATTCTTTAAATGATCCTGTTCCAGCCATCACATCATATCAGAAAATGGTTTGAATGACACAAATTACCTTTCACAATTTACACAGAAGCAAAAAATGAGTATAAAAATTTCCAACACAAAATATTTCCTGTGAAACTAGACTTCAAAGTAAACACATTTACTAATAGAACCAAAGAAGACTCTCAGGTATCTTCATGACAGCATGTGATTTACAGGCAAACTAGGAGCTGAAAAAGCATGCATTTCACAAGGTTACCAGGTTACACACAGTAACTATAACCATAGAAGGCAAGAGATGTGGTTCTTATTTGTTCTTCCCCCACCCTCTCATAACTAATCTATTCAGATAAACTGTCAGAGCAACTTGATTTTTACACCAAGGATATCAGCAAAAACATGTCAATTCCCCTTGGGGAACTCATGAGTAGAGTCCTGCCTGTCCTGGTGCTGGCAGAGACTAAAACTAAACGTCCTTCCCTGCAACAGCTTCACTGTGTACTGCCAGAGCAACTTCTCCTGGCACTGGCACTCTGAGCTGGGTGCTCCTGCTCAGACTGCAGCCATGAACCCCCAGTTCATGTCACAGGCAAGGCTGCATCGGTCAGAAAAAGTCTTCCCTTTTCTACTTTACAACATTTTACTGCATGAGAGTAGAGCTCAAAAAGAAACCAGCCTTTTTGAAATGATGGATGCTGTACACAGTGGAGCACATTCTTCCAAAGGGACACTGGACTTGCTCTGTGTGTACTGAATGCAATGGATACTGTCCTGTGCTCCTGGTAAGTGACTGATCCTCCTATCAACAACAAACACAGCCAACCTGAAGATCATGTAAAAATATAACACAAGAGGGGAGAGAGAATTCTCCCAGCAATTTTTTGAAAATAATCCTTTCTTTGTAACAGAGTCCTTTCAATTTCAAATTTGCAAATTGAAAAGTGCAGTAGGCAATACAGAATTTAAAACAATAAACAAATACCACAGCAGATAAATAGGCATTTATTAAAGTTCATCTCAAAACAAACAAAAATAATAAAAGACATTAAGGCATCTTGTATTCAATGACAGTTCATACAGTAAAAATGACTTCTCCTTCTTATACAAGAGAGCAGATTAGGGAAAAAAAAAAGAAAAGAGCTCTCACAAAGAACTTCTCCCAAACTGTTTGATGGATTACTGATTACCAGTTAGTCAGGAAATCCCTCCAAAGAATGCCTATTTCTCCAATGAAGCAGTTACAAAATCCCAACACTCACTGAGACACGTGCAAGAAAGCACTTTTGTCCCTCCTCAGACATCCCACTGTCTGTAAACATGCACACTGGAGAAAGACCAACAGATGGATATTGTGCACAATAAAGAAGCTGCATTCCTGCTTCAACCATTCATTTTTGAGCAGACTAGAATATTTGGCCTTGCTTTCACTAGTATTTACTATTTCAGCCAGTTACTAGTGAAAATGAGACCACAAGCTCTAGCCTGTTCTGCAATGCAACAATTTGTATGTCCTCCTTCTAACTCATACTAGATAAACAAATGACAAAGGTCTTATTTCCACGGAACAATTTATTTTGATGAATTAAGCCATCAAGCCACCAATCACTGTTATAGTGCTTTTTTCTTCAATTGGAATAAGAACATCAGGAAATGTTTACAGTATCATTGGGTTCACTATAACAGGATTTTACTACAGACTAAATATAAATTAATAAACACTTCAGCACTATTCACCACACTGGCTCCCTATATCCTTTGTCACATTCTAACCTTCATTTAAGGCAAGTTTGTTGGTTGATTTTTCTGAAGACAACCACATGGTCTCTAGATAAGCTTGTGTGACTAGATTTACAAGTTAGGAAATCAAGCTTTATAAAATGTTTACTTCAACAAATATGAAAGTTATTAAGAGAGAGATGGTGACCCAGAATTGCACTGTATTAAAAGGTGGAGTTTCCTTGTACCAAAGTCCTTTATTCATCATCTTTAGAACCAGTTTTGCTTAACTATAAAAGAGACACAAAAAGAAAGTATTCAAATTTTAGGCTGTCATTCCATTTATTAGGAAACAAGAACATTATTTCCATCTCACACTGAACATGCATTTACTTAATTAACAATACAGACTGATAGTGCTACTGTATCAAAACACTGAAAAGCATCAGAAGTTAATTCTTAAGCTTAAACACTAAATGAGCTTATTTCCTGATCATGAAAGTTGAATTTAAAAAAAAAACAAAAAACAAACCCCAGAAAAGCCTCAGGGCACTGTTTCTATTTAATTTGAAGGCTTTATCACTAGCTCTCCAAAAAGAAAAAAAAAAAGATGAAGTAACGGAACTTTATCTTCATATATCTCAGAGAATTCCCATATAGAAATTTAGACAGTATAAAAATAGACATTAACTTAGTATTTCTCACCTTTTAAAGCTAAGCTGATAATTATCAAAAGTAGCATACCTGTCATGAAATCTATCTGAAAATCAAGACATCCACTATAAATAGCCACTTCTAACTCAGAAGGACTCTGCCCAAAACAACCTTCATCATTTACTTGCTCTTACTTAACAACTGGAACTGGTGTTAGGTCTTACAGCAAAAATTACCTCAATTGTGTAAAATAAAATAGTTTGCTTTCAAAATTGTAAAGCAGTGATTTTCACTGAATCAGCAAAGATAAGAGAGTGGAAAAAATCAATAGTGAGGGAGCAAGCAGAAAAGAATTATTCACTGGAGTAGTTGCAGCAGAGAATGAGGCTTGTAGGAGACAGCAAGGTGCTCCCACTTGGGACAGCTCCCTTTTATTCCTTACTTATCCACTGCCCCCCAGAACCTGGCAGCACTACTAACTTTATTTAAAATCTTCTTGTCATATGAAGACAGAATATTTCCAGCACATTTCGTTAGCAAAGCCCTCTCATAAGATTTAATTGCTCAGTAAATAAGAGAACTTGAAAATACTTACATGCTGGACACATATAGAAATTAATCAGACATCATAGTGAAATCCAAACATAGTTAGGAAGAAAAGCAAGAAAAAAATATATCAGATCAGTTTCCTTCAGATATAAGTACAAATAATTTTCAATTTACATACACAGCATGTTCACAATACTGTATATAATACACTCACTTTACCTTAATTACATCAACCCAGTTCCATCCTCGTGGAAGCTCTCCTTTGTTATCTGCAGAAAAAGGTTTTAATTTCAGCACACAAGCGAAGGGGAATATTTATCTTTCTTCAAAATAAACCCACAAAATGCTAAATATCCAAACCCCTCAATTTCTGCACTCTTGAAGCCATGAGGACAGAAACAGATTTTAATGTCTTAAACACAGTGTGTTCTTCAACCAACCTCAAAGTGAAAGGAGGAAATGAAATAGCCTTAAGCTGTGCCAAGGGAGGTTCAGATTAGATTTCCAAAAACCATTTTTCACTAAAAGAGTAGTTAGGAATTGGAGTAAGTGGCCATGGGGAGTGGTGGAGTCACTGTCTCCAGAAGTGCTCCAGAGGTGCCTGGAGGTGGCACCTGGGGACAGGTTTAGGGGTGATTATGGTGGTGATGGGCTGATGGTTGGATAGATGAACTTGAAGGTCCCTTCTAACCTTGTGTGATTCTTTAATTATGTGACTCAAAGTAATTCAGTTTAAATAAAAACACCTCAGTCCACCTGAAATTTAGTTTAGAAAGTAGCTCCAATATGAGCTGGGCTGACCAGCAATGATGAATTCTGTCAAAGAACTAAATTTCATGCAGCTTTTCCTTTATACAGTTAACATTAAGCTTGCCAATTATACATTAGGTTAGGTAGATTATATGTAGGAATTGCTATGACAGGGTATAACTTATTGCTACAACAGGATGGTACTATCCAGATCATTACTGAAAACTGAAGGTAAACATGAGACAGTCATCAGCAAATTAACTGAAGTAATCAACTCTTTCAATCCAAATCCTTCTATTTCATTGCAAGCATTAAGTATCTGCAGAAGCACTTCTATTTCTAGAATGCAAACTAAATTAGATGCTTTACTCTGGGTTGCAAATAAAATATTTTTGTTTAGAAATTACATTTTAATAATGTGAATTATTTATGAGGGCCCATCAGCAAACTGCATTTTTTGCTGAAAGTCAATTTTTAGAGGTCCCAAATCCTCTCCTTCCAAAAGTATTTTTTGAAAATTTCTTTTTTTTTGTCACCAACTGAAATAAAACAAAAGATGTCAGTAAATTATAACTCTATAGAAAGTTGCTGTGACCAGAACTAACATCTCAAGCAAGAACAATTCATCTAAAACAAATAAAATAGAGACCACAGACTTAACGTAGCTCATGATAAACAAATTACTAGCTACACTTTCTCTAGCCAGGTGTCCCTGCTATAAAATTTGGATTTTCATACTGATCAAAGCAAAGATTAGTATAGTGAACAAACCTGTTTTATTGGCTAGTTTTCGTTTCTGGGTTTTGGATAACTGCTCCTTTTTGTCTTTTTTTTTACTTGGTGGCACTTCAGGAGTTCCAGTTGAAATACTATTGCTTACTGAAGTCTGAAAAGGATAAAAGTGGTTATAAACATTTTGCATATTAGTTTCATGGATATCCCTGTGTAATGTGATTATTAAACCTGACATACTGAAATACCTTGACTGTCAGAAAGAAGCAATGCTGTCAGCAGCCTGCAGCTTTTAATCCACATATAATCAGGGCTGTACTTTTAAAAAACATGTGTTAGGGACTGGAATTATTCTCTTCCAGTTGCAAAAGGCACCTTTTTCACTTTTAAAATTTAATCACGGAGTGTGATTTAGTCTGAATGGATTCAGACTTCTCAAACACAGAAATCATTCCTACCCCCTCAAAGCAGATCTGCTGCACCATCATGGCTTACACAACTCAAAAGCCACAAATGGACCCAGCCTGACTACTTTAAGACCCTGGAGGTGCACTTATACAATCTCAGGAAGGCTGCAGTAAATTGCCACCCATCCAATCCTCAGCAGACACATCTCTGTTTCAGCTTCCTTTAGTTTTGCTTCTGCTCAAAATCTCTATTTTAATGTTATCCTGTGGGACATAACAGCAGGCTGCAAACATTTTGGTGTAACAGTAAAATAACTATCAAATAGAACAATTATCACCACAGAGCATTGTGGCACCATACTTTGTGTGTCACTTTCAGCCACTAACATGTACAACCAATGAAGTAATTTTCAGCTTAGAGAGAACTCTGAAGTATTCAGGTTATAATATCAATATTCTTTTTCAGTTTTCAAAGCACAAAATTAAAATCAGAATTTATCCACTTACCACAGTGTTCACAGGTTGATTTTCCATGAGCACCTCCTTATTGTCTTTGGCATATTCAAAAAGCGTGTATGTCATTGCAGTTCCGAGATTTGCTTCAACTTCTACCATTAACTTATCCAATATGCTTTGCTTAATGGCTGAAGATCTAAAAGAAATCATTAAACTCAACTGTGAACTCGACAGACAATAAAAAGCTTTTCAAACAAAGAGTTCCCACCACAAGGCCAGGGAGTGAAGCTCTCACAAATACTTACATTGTGTTGTTGAAGAAAGCATCCATCGATATGACTGGTGCTGTTTGTGGATATGTTTCTGGCCAAGAAACTTCTATTAGAAAGGCTTTGGGATCTCCACTTTCACCTATCTGAAGAGGAAAAAACACCGAAAAACTTTATAAATCAACAGTTTCCAGTTACCTTCAGAGGATTACAAAGCCAATAAAGAAGTCTTTTACTGCTTTTAGACCATCAAAATTCCTTGAGATGACTATTTTGATAGTTATCAGTTAGAAAATAGTGCTATTATCTAGAAAGAGCATTAAGTTTTGGACATCAATATTAACATTTACCCTGCAGTTTTTTCATTCTAGAAGGAGGAGCAGAAACTGACAAATCTCCTTTTATGGTTAGGGTTTTTAAATTCCTTTGTTTAAAAGCTACTTTGTAATATCTTCAAGCTAAATATTATACTATCACATATAAGAACAGAAAATATGAAGCCTTTTCTCCCCCACACACATCTAATCACAGAGCAGTATGAAAACAAGCCACAAGACAGGGCTGAAATAAGGATGGTAATAAACCACTAAGCTAAGATAGCAAAAATAACAGGTAAGAACATCAATATTTATGTTTCATGGCTACAGATATTCTACTTCCCTGTATGAAAGAATAAGTACTAAAAGATTTAAGAAGTCGGTAGAACGAGTCTGGATTTAAAAAAAAAAGGCAGCATATTACTGACATACAATCAGAAATAGCTATTTCACACAGGATCTGGGAGACTAGCACAGTAAGGTTTCTAAAACCACCCCAAATTTTCCCTTATTTGCCTCATTAGAAAAATCAGCCTTTATCTAATTATGTAGAATAAAGTGTGTCCACAAGAGAAGTCCTAATCAAGGTAAGGCTATGGTTTCAAAATTTAAAAAGTAAACAAAAAATTGTTGCTTTCTTATTTACAATATCTGTTTCAGCAGACTGGACTAACTGACATTCAAAACTACTTGTTTAATGGTGAAATAAATAAGACTTTAAATCAAGAATCTGCAACATTTTTCAAGGCAGCATTTACAGTTCATTTCCCACTGCTACCAAGAGCAGAAGTGGCTGCAAGGTTCACAGGGTTCTCTCAGGAAAGCAGTCTGTGTGCAGAGCAAATCCTACAAAGCCATACAAATTCTTTCTATCTTCTCATGCACTTACTTGCATGATGGCTTCTCACAGTACAGTTTTCTCTTAATGGGAAAGATGTATTATTGCCTTTGTATGACAATAAGTTTTATTGTATTTATTTATTCATAAGTATTTATTATTTTATTTATTACTAACTTTTGATAATTATTTTTTGTCTAATAAAAATCAGCAACAACCAAAGCTGGTGAAAAGTAAAATGACTTAAGCTTGTAGGTATGTCATATTTCCCTTTTCAAAGAAATTTAAATTTATTAAGAATGATCCAATCAATGAAGAAAGGCCACTCTTACACGGCTGGCATTTCAAGTGCTATTAATTAACTGAGTATAATTAATTAATTAATTAATCTCACTACAATTAGTGACATTTTTCTTAAGTTATTTGAGAAGCCACAGAAAGGTGATTTTAGATGGTTTCTCCCTGAAACAGGCATATAGCATTTTCAGAAATCTCCCTTCTGTCCTGTGGGTGCCTAAGTAAAGTCTTCTGGCCATCAAAAGATCTGCCTCAGTCGGTGCCCAGAAGAACTTTCAGGTTTTTAAATCGGAGAAAGCTGGTGAGAACTTCATGTCAGAATCTAGTTGTGTACCTTGAGCTCAGCACTCCCTCTATGTCTCTTGTGACCAGACTGTGCCAGTGCACACATCCAAAGCATTTTGTAGATTTTCTCTTTAGCAGGTAAACAAGACACAATCAACAGTCTTTAGACAAGAGACAGGAATCTTGTAACTAAGCAGTTAACAAAGGCTCAAAATTTTACATAGAAACATCTCTATAAATCTTTCAATTTCTGACCTGTTAGGGTAAATACTACACAGCAGGCCTTCTTCAGAGGATGTGACAGTTCTGGCTAGGCAGGGCACAGACACACAAGTGGGATGCCTGGCTCAGGGATAACTGGCAATAGGGCAAGAGGCAATGGGCAGAAAGTGACAGACAGGAAGTTTCACCTGAGCATAAGGATTTCTTTACTGTGCAGTGACTGAGCATGGAAGAGATTGTTCAAAAAGGTTGTGGGGTCTCCTTCACTGTAGATTTTCAGGAACAGACTGGACACAATCCTGTGCCACGTGCTCTAGGATGGCCCTGCTAGAGCAGGGAGGTTGGACCCGGTGACCACTGTGGTCCCTTCCAGCCTCACCCGTCCCGTGACTCTGTAACAAACCGTGCTGGCGGCAGGGTCACATACACGACACTCTGGGGTGTGAAGCGCTGTTGTACCAAATAGCCTGGAAAAAGCATCCTGTGGATCACTCCTTTACCGCACACTGGATACCCCTTTGGCTTAGAATCCCCCAGAATGGCAACAGCAAGGCAGCAAAGTAACTCCAGGGTGCAGCCTGGCCTTACCCTGTACTGGAAGGACACGGGGCTGAGCTCCCTGAAGCACACGTCTCCCTCGTAGATGGAGCGCAGCGCTTCCAGCTCCATCTGCAGCCAGGGCCAGAGCAGAGAGCAGGGGTTACCAGAGCAGGGGTTACCGACCGCAGCCCCGGCACAACCTCCCCGCGCCC